GAGGGGGCTACTCCCTGTCGCACTGCATTATAGCCCATTAGAGGGGGGTTACTCCCTGTCGCACTGCATTATAGCGCATTAGAGGGGGACTACTCCCTGTCGCACTGCATCATAGCCCATTAGAGGGGGGCTACTCCCTCTCGCACTGCATTATAGCCCATTAGAGGGGACTACTCCCTGTCGCACTGCATTATAGCCCATGACAGAGGATTATACTCCATTGCATTGCATTATACCCTATTGAAAGCAGTTATACCCCATTCCTTAAGACCATAACACACAGAAGCAGAAATTAGGCCATTCAGCCCATCGAGTCTCGTTGGCCATTCAATCCACCTGAGTCTACTTTGCCATTCGGTCGTGGCTGATAACTTTCTCAACCCCGTTCTCCTGGTTTCTCCCCTTAACCCTTGTTCCCCTTGATAATCAAGAACCCATCTTCATCTTAAATATACTCAATGTCCTGGCCTCCACAGCCTTCTGTGGCAGTGAGTTCCATAGATCCACCACTCTCTGGCTGAAGAAGTTTTTCCTTATCTCCATTCTAAAAGGTCTTCCTGTTACTCTTAAGGCCGTGCCCTCGGGTCCTCGTCTCTCCTACCAATGGAAGCATCTTCCCAACTTCCACTTTGTCCAGGCCATTCAGTATTCCGTAAGTTTCAATTAGATCCCCCCTCATCCTTCTAAACTCCAATGAGTATAATCCCAGAGTCCTCAAAAGTTCCTCATATGTTAAGCTTTTCATTCCTGGGACCATTCTCGTGAACCTCCTCTGAACCCGCTCCAGGGCCAGTACATCCTTCCTGAGATGTGGGGCCCAAAACTGTACGCAATACTCCAAATGTGGCCTGACCAGAGCCTTATAAAGCCTCAGTAGTACATCTCTGCTTTTATATTCAAGTCCTCTCAAAATAAATGCCAACATTGCATTTGTCTTCCTGACTACTGACTCAACCTGCAAGTTTACCTTGAGAGAATCCTGGACTAGAACTCCCAAGTCTCTTTGTGCTTCAGACTTCTGAATTTTCTCCCCATTTAGAAATTAGTCCATGCTTTTATTCTTTTTACCAAAGTGCGTGACCTCACACGCTCCCACGTTGTACTCCATCTGCCAATTCTTTGTCCACTCTCCTAACCTGTCCAAATCCTTCTGCAGCCTCCCCCCTCCTCAATACTACCCGTCCCTCCACCTATCTTTGTATTGTCTGCAAACTTAGACAGAATGCCCACAGTTCCTATATCTAGATCGTTTATGTACAACGTGATAAGTTGTGGTCCCAGCACTGACCCTTGCGGAACACCATTTGTCACCAGCTGCCATCCTGAGAAAGACCCTTTTATCCCCCCACTCTGCCTTCTGCATTATGTTTTAGCCCATTGTAAGGGATTATAGCCCACTGTAGGGAGTTATACCCTACTACAGTGCACTATACTGCATTGCACTGCAGTATAGCCCATTATAGAGGGTTCTCCCTAATTCCATTGCATTATAGCCCACTGTAGAGCATTATAGCCCACTGTAGAGCATTATAGACCATTGTACGGGGCTATATCCCATTACATTGCTATGCAGTGGCCTATAGGGAGTTGTTCCACATTGTATTGTGTTCGACCCCGTTGTAAGGGGCTGTATCCTGTTGTAAAGGGTCGGGGTGGGGGGCTGATGGTTAGATTCTCTCTCATTGGAGATGGGCACTGCCTGGCATTTGTATGTAGGAGGGGTTTGCCACCCAACTAGATATTGACCCGGGGATTATTTGTTAAGTTTGCTCAGGGGACTACAGACAAAAGTGAATTGATTCCCCCTATCAGGGGAAACCTTTCTTCCTGTCTATCCAATCTATGCCCCTCATCAGTTTTCTATTTTCATCTCGGTAATGTCCCCTCTTGATCTCCTCTGCTCCAGGGAGGACAACCCCAGTCTGTCCAGTCACTCCTCATAACCAAAACACTGCAGCCCTGAGGCAACATCCTGGTAAATCTCTCCCAGCCCCTGGGGCAACATCCTGG